CCTTCCCTTCTTGTTTTGTTTATTATTAATTAAACACAATAGAAACAATAATGGAGTTGGCACTTCATTGGGCAATACAAGTTTCCTAACAGGCACCTGCCCATCCCATTACCATAGCTATTAGCCCCAAATATTTCTCCCCAATGTTCCAGAAGTGGCTAGCAGCTTCTGTTGTGCATTTTCTCAGTTTGCAGAAGAGAAATATCCATTTGCAGGTGTGGTCTGAATCCAAAGTGCACCTGCAAGAACGCTGTCAGGTGGGTGGGGCTGTCCACCTGCCAACGTTGGCCACAGGAGGTGGGCCCTTGCAGGATTATGGTTGATCTGGGCAAGCACAGCTGCCACAATCGCAGGACCACAAGTTGGTTGATGGCAAGATGGCAATGGATGAGAAAAAGAAGAAGAGAAGATGGGGGAAAGAAGCCAAGCCAGATTCCCTGACAAACCATGCAGAGAATTCAGGTGAAAAGTTACGTCTTTCCCCTCTGCTAAAAAAAAAAGAAATGCCCTTAAATATCAATTCTTAACCTATACTTTAATATAACTAATATATTTTCATGTTTCAGATGTTTTAAATGTGAGAATCCTCACAGCACACATGATTTTGTACTAAATGCAGAATATAATAGATGGAAGGTTAAAATTCCTCTCCCACATCACAAACATAAACCGTAAGCCAACTGGGAGAGCAGAGCAAGATTTGGGGAACAGTCCAAGAGATGCTGATTGAAGTGAAAACTGGGAAGATGCCCTGGGAATTTTATGGAAGGGTACGATATGAATCTCTAAAATAAATAAAACAAAGACAGTATGACTGTTGTTGACAATGAGGACAGATAAAAGTAGTTATTAATAACTGTATTTTTCTGGTTATAAATTGAGGTGTGGGGGTGTTATTGGCTTGTTTTAGTTTGTCCTTGTTTTTATAATATATTTAGTGCTTTTATCTTGCATTTTTATGCTGTGAACCACCCTGAGATCTACAGATGAAGGGTGGGATACAAATTTATAAATACTACTACTAATTTTTTTTTTAAAGTATGTCTTCTATATGGTTCTTACACTGTTGGAAGTCAGGGCTTGCCTAATAATAATAATAATAATATCCTGCACAACCAAACTAAATCTGTGCAATTTTTATTTAGTGATCTGAGCAGAGAAATGAAGGCTGGGAAATATATAAAGGCATCTATATCTAGATCTATACATACATAGACATAGATGGCCATGTATATATAACCATCTTTGAATGAAGAACAACTTAGAAAGCCATCTAGGAAACAGCAGGCTGCAACTGAAAGCACATCACTCTAGTACTTCTCATGCTTCATTGCCCTGTGTTCAATATTGGATTTAGGTCAAGGTCCAGATCTTGACCTTCTATGCCCTTGGTGGGCTGCACCTCCCATGGCCTCCTGATATGACCTACATGACAGCTGCATTCATTAGGGATGCTGCAGTTACAGGGACAAGGGTGAAACGAGTAGGAGCAGAGGGCAGCCTTTCCTGGCAGATGGCCCACAGCGGTGCCCTTAAAGAGCAGAGGCTCGAATGTCTACAGATTCTACCCAATTGGTGCAAATTGCCACTGCACTTGCACCTTTGCAACAGCACCTCTGCAGAAAGAGCTTGGCACAGTTTCCCCTGAAAGAATACAGTCTTAAGACACAACATGCAGACTGTGTGCGTTCCTGCCTTGGAAAAAGGCAAGACTCACTTCATTTCTAGAAGACACCTTTGGAAATATACAATCTAAAGGGACTTCTAAGGAAGGGGTGCTGGAAATAGGACTTCACTTTCAGGGGCCCATGCCACAGATAGATGACAACAACCATTTGCACATCATTAGAACCTGTGGCAAAATGCAGAATTCTGGAGACTTTAGAGCCAAAGTACACATTAAATGTGTGGTTTGTTATCTGCGTCTTGGAAACTGCAATGTAGTAGCAGCTGAAGTTGGGGGGGAAGCACATCCTAACGGCGACAGGAGAAACGAGGTGGAAGGTGGGTGGGTGTTAAAACCTTTCTTTCCATGCCACAGTCCTGATGAAAATCTCTCCTCCTCCAAAGAAGACATTTGCTGGGGGGGGGGGGGGGATAAAAGTGGCACCCAATGTCTTTTCCACAGCCATTTTCAACAACGTATTCCGAAACACTGACAAAAGCAGCTCTTTGGGGGGGGGGGAGGTCTTCTTGAATAATATATGGAATTACGGAAACGTCATGGTCCTTCCATGCTAACACCCCCCCCCCCCAGCACTGCCACAGGACTGGGCTCAGCAGCCATGCCTACACATTTCATTTCTGGAGCCAAGCATACTCAGTGGGGAGGAGTGACGAAGGGTAGCAAAATTCTGGATGGACGGTAGAATAAATTGTGCAAAAATCAAAGCTTTAAACAGCAGAACCAGGGCATTTCTTGGAACAGCCAGGTTTTGATGTTTTCCTTTGTTCTACCTCTTTCTCTTTTTAACCCATCTCTGACACTGCTTTCATAAAATGCTATAATATATACCATGTGTCGGGTGATGATGATGATGATGATTTTCAAAAATCCTTCTTAATTTCATTGTGCATTTTATTACAGGCCAAATGTGACATTACTTTTTTTGTTTTTTGTTAATCCCCTACGGCATGGAGTTAAATACTTGCTCTGTTCAGAATAGCAACACTCAATTAAGTCGCTTCTCCCCCCGCCCTTCATGATCTACACCCTCCTTTGTTACTGTGCTTAAAGGGAATAATGGGAGCACTGACCTATATTGCGCTTCTTATTATCAATGGAGATGAAGCGTATGCAGGGATTATCGGAGATGTACCGTACTGCCCAAGGGACATCAATCTGTGTGCCGGCTTCATAAAAAAGGCCCAGAGCGTAACGAGAGGAGTAGCTCACAGATTCCAGTTGCTGCCTTTGACTTTTGTTAATTACTGTGGAGGAAAAAAAAAGACAAATAAAGGAATTAGACAATTACTTTTCTCTCAGAGCATTAAACCTGCAAATAATGCTATAGTTAAGCCGCTTAGACTTTTCCTAAAACAGCACTCATATGTGCCTAGAAATAAAAGGGAGGGGGGTTGCGGGCGGCAGAAGCCAAGCACCACTGCGTAGTTTCAAATGACAGAACACGAATGTAGTCCTGGGTCTTTGTTACTGTCACACAGAGGGTCATCAGACAATTTTAAGGATACTTAAGAAGCCACGTTTTATGAAACACGGGATATATCCTTGTGCGTAAAATGGAAAGGGAAGGGGACAGGTAGATGCGAACGGAGGCGAAACAGAGCAAAGGGTGGGGAGGCGATATAAGCCACTTGCAGAATCCCCCCCCCCCCAAAAAGGGTGTGTGTGGAGAGCTTTGCCACAACAGAATCTTGAGAACACATCATGGCAAAAAGGAAAGTCCTGCAAGAAGAAATCGTATCATCCACAAAATATATGTAATCGGATTACTAGCTAATGGCTATAATGAGGAGAAGAAGAAGAAGAATTACATCTCACAAAGGGTATCGTATCACATATTAATACATTTAATTTGGGACATTTCATAACTTACAGTAAATTCTAAAAGCCCACTCAAGAACAGAGACGTGGTACTCCATTCAGAAACCCGTTCCAAAAATGTTATTAGGCAAATAGGAATCCATTTCCTCCCAAGGAATAAAACTCAAAGGAAATCCCAAGAGGCCGTGTCCCTGAGTGTACTTTCAAATCTTTGTTATTATTGCTTTTACATTTCTACCCCACCTTCCCTTCAAGGACCTCAAGGCGGCATATGTGGTTCTCTATTATATCCTCACAACAATCCTGTGGGGTAGGTTAGGATGCGCGATAGTGCCTGGCCCAAGGTTGCCCAACGGCTGAGTGGGCTTTCGAACCTGGGTTTCCCCAGTCCTACTCTGACACTCTGACCACTACAACACCGTGTGTTAACCGTGAGGAGCCTACATCATTATTCATGCCCTAAGAACTACTTTCAAATTTGCTGGTGGAAGTACAGTGGTACCTCAGGTTACAGACGCTTCAGGATACAGACTCCAGAAATAGTACTATTTCTGGGTTAGCGGAGTCTGTAACCTGAAGCGTCTGTAACCCGAGGTACCACTGTATCCCCCTGCTGTGGTGGGCCGCTGTGGTGGTCTGGGCTGCTGACCTTGTCCTCTTATTATAATGCAGACATAAATTCAAGAATGTGAGTCTTATTTTAGTCTCTTTCTCCTTAAAAGTAGTCAAGGAGAATACTTTCAAGCTTCCATAATAAATAACAATACATACGTAATATTGTACTCAGTAGAATTACCCGTGTAGGTAGATTTCCTTTGCATGCAAAAAATTACTAAAAAGTCATGCAACCACATGTGTGCATCTGCATGTTTGGAATTTAGAACAAGGACTCCAGAAAATATCAATCTTAAGCACCAAATAATCTTTTCATTACTAATCAGCAACATTCTTGACAATGCAGACTCAGTTCTTGGTGACCTCTAGATCTGGGAGTTCATGAGTACAAAAATATATATGTCTATGCTGCTGTGAGTATAGATAAGATTGTGAGTCGTGGACAAGAACCAGTGCATTCACGATTAGAGATTAAAAGTGCTGTTTCATTTCAACATGGCTCCAGAGTAATTTCCCTGGACTAAACACACATGGAGACATTCATTCATTTATTTATTCCACTTTCACGCCTGCTAAGGACCCTCAAAGCAGTTAGTACCATAAAACTACCCCCCCCCACAGAAACATGCTTATATATATATATTTGCAGATTTCTTGACAAATAAACAATTTCAGATAAGAGCAGAGGAGACTAACTAGTCTCTAACCTAGTAAGAAACCATTAACTGGTTACTACCTCGCTAAAGCATGGTAGAAAGCAAAAGTCTACATTTCTAGCAATTTCAACAGAGCCATCCACCCGCACATTGAGAGAAAATTCCACAAAATCAGAATGGTATTTCCTGATAACAGATATTCTTGTTCATGTTCAGTACAGAGGGGCTTTAGGCTCAGTGGTGGGGTACCTGCTTTGCATGCAGAAGGTCATAGGTTCAATCTCTAGCTAGGGTTGGGAGATACCCTGTGTGAAACCACAGAGAGGCACCGCTAATCAGTGTAGACAGTCCTGAGCCTGATGCAGCAATGATCTGACTTCCCATGTTCTTAATGGTGGCACCCAAAGTTTTATAAGTCCATTATTCTCTTAAGGTCCTCCAAAATATGGCCAGTATTCTGAAGAGTGCTATTCATTGGGCAGGCAACATTTTCACACGTCTCCTGTGAAAAGGAAAATTACAGTGCTCTGGCCTGAAAAAGAATGCAACGGTATGTGATATTATATTTTAAAAAGTCATTAGGAAAAATGAAGGAGCATCAGGGGGGAAAGGATCCACCAGATCATTGTGTAAGGCAAAGACAAATACAGTGGTACCTCAGAAGGCAAATGGAATCCGTTCCAGAAGTCCGTTCGACTTCCAAAATGTTCGGAAACCAAGGCGCGGCTTCTGATTGGCTGCAGGAAGCTCCTGCAGCCAATTGGAAGCCGTGGAAGCCCCATCGGACGTTCGGCTTCCAAAGAACGTTCGCAAACCAGAACACTCACTTGCGGGCTTGCGGCGTTCGGGAGCCAAAATGGACAAGTACCAAGGGCGTTTGACAACCAAGGTACGACTGTATGTTCTAAATGAAGGTGATGCTTCCTTGAAATTGCAGAAATCACCAGTGCCATCTGCAGGTAGTCACAGCTGTCACTGCTTCGCGTCACCCAGCAGTGGTTCTGAAGCAAACTCCAGAGCCGCAAGCCCCACAGGGCAATAGGAAGGGCTGCTAATCCATAGCTGTCATGCACTTCAACTGTATTCACAGCCTCCGCCCTGACTACTTGACTCACCCTTTCATCGGTGCCTCGTTCACCCCACGGGCATTGAAGTTTAATGACTCTTTAAAACACTTTATATACACCAATGAAGTGGGAGGTGACACAACCCCGTCTGCCCTCCCCACCCCCATTTCATTCAGCTGAATACAAGAAATCTGCAGCTAAAGCATCCCCAACAGTTATTCATTTTATTATAGAGGTGAGGAAACCTCCCCCCCACCCCCCAGTCTGACGGCAGTATTCCCTCATGAGAAACCTTCCGGGAGCTATATGGCAATGATGGGCAGGGCCCATTGTGAAAGCTGGTGAAGCAACGGCTGTGATTCGTGTATTTGCACAGCAGGATGCATTCAAGCTATGCAAACGTCACAAGGTTTCCATACAGACATCTGTATATCGTCCATCCATTATTGCAGTTCAATAACACATTTTAGCCAGGCAAAAGCAATAAGAGAGGGTGTAGGTATGTAGCTTTGTGTGTGTCTTTTTTTGGGGGGGGGGGGCAGATAGGAGAACAGCTAGGAGAAGCCAGGAGGCCTGAGGTCCTGGGCCCTATGTTTTATTATAATGCAGGGGTGGTGAAGGGACGCGGGTGGCGCTGTGGGTTAAACCACAGAGCCTAGGACTTGCCGATCAGAAGGTCAGCAGTTCGAATCCCTGTGACGGGGTGAGCTCCCGTTGTTCGGTCCCTGCTCCTGCCAACCTAGCAGTTCGAAAGCACGTCAAAGTGCAAGTGGATAAATTGGTACCGCTCCGGCGGGAAGGTAAACAGCATTTCCGTGCACTGCTCTGGTTCGCCAGAAGCGGCTTAGTCATGCTGGCCACGTGACACAGAAGCTGTACGCTGGCTCCCTCGGCCAATAAAGCGAGATGAGCGCCACAACCCCAGAGTCGGCCACGACTGGACCTAACGGTTAGGGGTCCCTTTACCTTTAGGGGTGGTGAACTGGTTGGTTGGGTGGAACCAAATGCCGAGGGTGGCCAGGGCCAGAGGCAAAAGTGAGTGGGGCAACAAACGTAAATGTTAGCTTTGTACTATATGTTAGCTGGTTTCTACACATACCTCTATCTATCCTCCATCCAGGCAAGCAAATGCCATTATCAGAGCTACAGGACACATTTCAACATGAAAAGAGGGACTAAAGCAGGGTAGATGAGGAGCATGGCCTGGGGAGAGGTTCTGTGGCATGAGGAGAGTCCAGAAGGTCAGATAGGAAGGCCTGGAAGACTGCATCTGGCCCCCAGATCTGAGATTCCCCACCCCTGATATGAAGATTTATGCCTCACTTTTTTAATACAGGCAGCAACCATTTTAGGAGTATCCAATATGTGCTCAACCACGCACACGCGCATTGTGCCGAACCTGGAAGTGACCCAAAAACATCACCAAAATGTCACCAAAAAGGCGACGGAACGGGGTAGGCTGACATGGGCCCCACCGATACGCATGGGAGTCCGGAACTGATTGTTGCCTGTATATATGAGCTATTCAAAGCACCCTGCAATAATTAAAATCACAGTAAGAAAATACAGCAACAAGAAGAAATATATATAAGAGACACAGGCATGGCAGATAAAACAGTCCTTCAATAAAAACACCTCAATGTGGAAAATTAAAAGATTGATAAAATAAAAGGATGTCTTCACAAGTCATCAGAAGGCCATCAGAGAGAAGGCTCCCCAAACCTCATAGAATGAAGCATTCCACCATCCTAGTTGCTGTGGCTGTTGTCCTGCTCCTCATCAGAACTGACCATTCTCCCAAAGTGGGACATAGACAAGGGCTCTGTGGTGGCTACCCACTCCTGCTTAGAGACACCCTGTGAAGTTACAACCCGGTGCCACCATAAATAACTGGTTCCAAAGTAAAATCACTCTTACCATCAATAGTCCCCCCCCAAAAAAAACTCCAGTCAAATCTACCCTCCTGTAAATTAAGCCCATGAGGTCTAGGCATGCCCTCTGAGGCAGCCGAGGACAAGTCTTTGCCTTCTTGCACGGGGCAGCCATCCAGGTTTTTGTAGACTTCCATCATATCCCCCCTCAATATTCCTTTAACCTAGTTCATAGGACTTTGTTTCAAACGCCCACCAGGTTCCTTGCTCTCCTCTTAATTTGTCCCAATTTGGCTATATATTCCTTAATATGTGGTGCCCAGAACTGGGCACAGTACTCTAGATGAGGTGTGACGACTGCAGGATAAAATGGGACTATCACTTATTGCTACTTGGAAACCATGTCTCTATTAATGTAGCCTAAAACTGCATTTTCCTTTATTGCAGCCATGTTACACTACTGACTTACGATCAACTCAAGATTGCCTACAATCCTGAGGTCTTTGCACTACAGCTAAGCCACTATACCCATGCATTTGATTTTCCCCCTCCCCACCAGCCTATACCTGTGTATCTGATTTCCCTCACCAAGCACAGCACTTCAAAATATGAAACACACCAAAGTAGTCCAACTACATTCAATTCTACAATAAGGGATGACTAACCTTTTCAGGCCTGTGGGCACACTTTAACCCTCTGGCCACTTATCTCCCCCTCCTCTGGATCAACCTCACTGACAGACGGAGAGAGATAAGGGGGCATGCACACAAACACACTTCACTTTTCCAAGAGATCTATGTCAAAGTCGGATCTTGTGGAGTTAATGTGACCTTTGAAAAACACTTAAGATAGGAAAGAGGAAGTGGGAAAGAATGTGGCACATCCAGCTTCAGCTCCATGTATTTTTCAACAGAGAAGAATGTAACCACCCTCACCACTTCATGAACAGTGAGTTGTGTGTGTGTGTGTGTGTGTCTCAGAAGACTTGTGGGTGCTAGGGAAAGACCTCATGGGTGCCATGTTTGTGACCCCTTCTGCAAGTTGTGTTAAGAAGTCCTGCTTCCTTAGTTGTGGCTCTTGTGAACTATTGAGTGACAGTATTCCATGCGCCAGACGTTTCAGGTGAAGGCTAAGCTGAAATTAATACCATTTTACATTCACATGGGATAGCTGATCATCTGTGAACAGGCACAATCTGGATCTTATAGAGTTCCCCCATGTGCTCAGACTTCTGAATGAAGCACCCTCCCCATGGTGCCCTTCACCTTTCGTTAGCTATCTCAGTAATAACCGTGACTGAATAGTCACTGGAAACATGGCTTAAATCTCAAGGTGAAACACCAGTTAAATGGTTAATGTGACAAAAAAGGGATATAAAGCAGACTAACCAAACTAACCAATTCTCTACTAGGTTTATCTTTTAAAGTAAGTTTATATGATTATTCAAATTACCAATGCACTTGCACCAACTTTCTCCTTTAATTGGAACAGATACATATATATACACAAAATATGCAATATCCTCCCCATGGATCTACATTACTGTGATGTTTCATTATTAAGAAGCCATTTGGCAGGTGAAAGTGTACATGTATGGTCGTGTTTGAGGGCCTATTAGCATCTAGTCTGAGCAAATAAAAGCCTTTGTGAACTGAACGTCAACGTAACATTCAAGTTTCGAATGAAAGACAAAAAATGTTCATGTTAAGTGTTGTCTTTCACCCATTGCCTAGATCAGATTAACAGAAATATTGCATAACAATGCACAGTTATATGCCTGGCATTGTGAAGATTTCTACTAAGGACAGTGAGGTGAGTCAAGTTCAATCAAGGTGAGAGTTTCAGTTTTGGGAATTCTGCGTCTGTTGGTTTGAATTTGAACAGGGAAGATGATTTGACATTGTTTCTAAAATAATATATATATATCTCCTTCCTTCCCAAAGCAGGTATGATTTAATAACAACTCTAGAGTGTGGGTGTTGGGGGCAGAGTTGCGCTCTTGCTTTTAGACTGCACTCACACAGAGTACAAGATGAAGGAGCTCTCTGAGAGTTCTAAAAAGCCAAGCTAATTAAGTCATGGATAGAAGGTTTGCAACAGACCACCACAACTGGAGCATAAACGGAAGCCTTGGTCATAACTGTCCCACTGGCAATTTAATTACAAAGAAACAGAGATGGCTATTTCCCCCTGAAACAAACTAAAAACAAAACTGTATTATCATTCAGACGTAGCAACACCTCTCCCATTATGACTTAGAAAGAAAAACCGCTATCCTGATGCTACAACATTCAAACAAAGATGGTAGTGCTCCATCCTAATATGGACAAGTGATAAATTAAGGACTTCAATGTGCAG